TGAACAACAAACACTGCTCACAATAATTCCCAGTTTCAGACAACTGCAAGCAATCATCACCCTCTCATCATCAGCGTTATCAACATGCCCTCACTCATATCATTATTAACATAATCATATTTCGCACGCCTTCAATACCTTCAATTCTATTACCACTCACTTGCAATTAAATAGGTGATTAGATATGAACCGAATCAAGCTCCACTCAACTTCGGTGACGTTCGTGCGAATCTCCATTATCATTTCTATTACTAGCACTTTATGATAAGCATCAATATCGTCACTGTATTCACCACCTATCTTAGCACTGCTACTACCGTTATCACTAATGCTGCTGTGTTGGATAGTTGAGAAAAAGGCACTATAAAGAAACGAACATAAGGTGGCCGAAACGTATGACTGACTGTATGGAGACAGAATCCTCAGGATGGAATTCAGTGTTGAATAAGTGACATGTACACCACTTAAAGATGGCTTCCAAAATATTGACAACTTCCAGATTCATCGTGATTGCTGTAAGCTTATGGTGGTGGTGGTAATAGGTGAATAGAATGAACAACTAACTCTATGTTGTCAACAATTAAGTGAGCGATCACGTGCGTAATTAATCCGCAGTCGACAGCATGCAATTATCATGCTTGTCAACAACACATAATCATTGTTTGTTTCATTGTAGGCATGAATAGTGGATGAGAATAGATAAACATTTTTATGAAGCAAAATTTCATTGATAAGCATTCATAANATAAGGATAAAATGATCGAATCACTGAACTAAGCTTAATCATTGTACTACCAATCAGAGTCATCATATATTGACCGTTAACGAGTGAATCACGTGCTTTTATTTTTAGATTGAATGTCATTTATTGTGGGTTCAATTTTGCATCGAACTGACTGATAAGGAAAGTACGAGTGAACACGAGCATGTTTCCTTTCATTCCGATGCGAACCTTGGTCAGTGCCCCACAAAAGAGAACGGAAATAAATCATGAAATTCAAAGATTACGGAATAAAGTTCAGAAAAACTTTGAATCAGACGTTAAAATTTCAGAAGTTTATTAGTCCGTCCACATTTGTGGGCAATAATGGGACAATATAATGATGATAAAGTCAGTGGAGAATTAAAACGTTTTTGTCATAGTAAAGTGGCAATAATATCATGTTGAACTGATCGAGATAAACATGAAAAATGAACGAAATTACAAGAAATTCATGTGTGTATCAATAAATCAAAATCACTATATTCATATTGACAATTGCGATTACAATAATCATTGAAATGATGAAAATTTTATAAATTCAATGTGAATGACGATTTGTAACAATGATAAAATAATATAAATAATGAAGACGATGATAAAATAATGTTAATAATTATAATAGCAGCAATGATAAAGTAATAAAAATAAGTGATAAATACGATAAATACGATGGACAAGCACACTCACAAGTAACATACAAAAAACGACACATTCTCAGATGTAATCATCCATAACTGTCACTTATCGTATTTATGCCTATTTCATGTTACAGTATCTTGATTACTTATTTATTGATCGACTGAATATTTACCATCGTAATCTTCTCATTTGGTCGTCATCATTGTTACAAACTCTGAAAATGAAAACATTATCAACTTCATTTCAACTCACCGAGCTGAAGTTTACGCGAAACTCAACACTGAGGTTAACACCTTTTAACGCTTGAGACTGACTTGCTCGCTCTAAGATCATAACGATGCCCACTTAGAACCACGTCTTTCACTTTATCTCCAACAACATTTTTAACTTTCATATTATACTTTTCATATAACAGTCTAACCCTTTCACGTCAATAACGACNTAACGGTACACCAACACCAATATTTTAACATCATGTTTTAATCCTATGATAATAACATTCAAGTTCCACACAACTCTGAATGTTCAACGATTACATCTTCCGATTTGCTACTTCAATCACCACTGCTAGGTTTCGCTAATGAAATGTTGACAAAAACTACCTTCGTAATTGACCTGTCCATCGCCGTCAATGTCCGCCTCCCTTATCATCTCGTCCACCTCTTCGTCGGTTAATTTCTCACCCAAATTCGTCATTACGTGACGCAATTCAGCCGCTGATATAAAACCGTTACCATCCTTATCGAACACCTTCAATTGAATTTGCACGATTATCCGACACATAACATCACATCAACCATTCGCTTTGTTTTACAATATTTTCCTCTCCACAAAAATTCAAATTAATCGTTGCTAATGGTATCTATCCCATAACTGTTTAATGACCATCGCACAACTATAAACGCATCGAGGCCACTGAACAATCATTCCTCTACCCTTAATTATGACAGGTCATCACTACCAAACCTAACAAGTAATCAGCTAATGGTACTCATCTCTCCGTCACTGAATCCAAAAATGAACACTCCATGAAGTGAACATTTCATATACACTTCAAAAAACCACCTTTGTTATATGCATCAATACGCATCTTCATTAATAATGCTATCAGCAGCTCTTATTTCTGCACCAACCTCCATGTAAAATGATATATAGATGCAGCAGCAGCAGCAGCAGC